TAGGGCATAGTGGAAGTCCTGTTGCTGCCGTAATTCGCTTTCCCACCTCTCGAGTGTCGAGGCAATACAGATTGCAGTTATTCGTTCTAGGACCCACATACAATCAGCTGATCGCCGAGTGATGAGGCGATGTTTTTCTCCCATTCTTTTTTCCTCTGATTTTCTTTTTGCTGCCGCGATCCCTTATTTAATTTCCTACTCCTAGAGGCTAAAAAGGTGAGCTACTTTTGCTGTTACTAGGGGTTTTTTGTTTATTCCTGCTTACAAGTGAATGAATTTGTGCTTACTATTGTCTGTTATTCGCACCAGGACCCACACGCGCGCAGTGAAACACACTATTCAGCTCGTCCGGACGCCCCACTCTTCTTCATTTTTCTGGTTTCATTCTCGTCCAGACCCCTTTTCAACGGTTTTTCGAAGCCTTTTTTTCATTTGGAAACACCGATTCACGCAGTTTCTTCACCTTCATTGTACTATTTTTTCTTGTCTTCCATTTTTCATCATAATCTGGATTACCCAAAATTATCGTGAACTGTGCCTTTAATAGTAGTCCCTGAATGAGAAAGGACAAAGAAATACAAGTACGGCCGGAGATGGAGCGAGTAGAGAACAAACCGATGTGATTTACAACGGATCTAAGAGCAGAAATGAAGTGACTTGTCGATGTCAGTGCTGAAGAAAGGTACAGTTAGGCTCATTCCATATTTTGTGAGTCAAATGCTCCTTCCTTGTAGAGGAACCCCGACACATGCACTTGAGTTGCGGGCAGCGATTTGTTTTTTCGCACTACTTGACTCATTGAATACTTACTGTAGGAACAGATCTTTCATCGAGGGATGTGGCAGGTTGCCAAGATGCCGGCACGCGACTTGGCCGGTTGACCTGACCCAGCAGAGTAATGACATACACCTTCCGAAAGATCGAGAAATCTTACGGTAGCTGTCAAAGAGACGCTGGTGTAAAACCAGAACGGGGTCATAACTGTATGATAATAACAGTGGCCCTAGTACTTGTAACACGCTCCTATTTTACTTCCTATTCAGTGTTGGAATATACAAGTTAAACTCCAATGACAGTAATCGAAATATCGATTTCCCGAATAAATATCTTCAGGTAAGTATTCGAAAGCCTGCAGAATTGTTGTACCAAACAAAACAGATTTTGCAGTCTGAAGGGTTTGTGATACAGTAACTCTAGTTATCACTCGGGCGCACTGCTGCATTAGAGCACAAGTGGTGGAAACGTATAAATGAACCCGGAAAAGGAAAATAAATAAATTCATAATGTAAAACATTTTAGCATCGTTCATGCAGACCAATTGAATTTATTAATTGAATTTATTGAATTCACAGGTAAAATAACATTACTTCACATCCCCCAAGAAGTGCAATTTTGCAAGAATTTCTCGATGTGTCGGAAACAAATCTGCCCCAGGAATTCCATAAAAACTAGAAGCAAATTTTGAACTGGTATTTCAAGAATTTCAATCTACAGTAATGAAAAGCGTTCTTGATATTTGCAACTTGAAATTTATCGCTAAAAGAAAAAAAAAATGATTTGACTGTTGATGAAATGAAATGACTGTTTCTAGTCGGCAAAGCTCACAATTATATAAAGGTTAGAGAAGAAAGTTCTTGGCGTTACTTAAATTTTTCCTGGAATACTTCTAGACATCCAACTTTTAGGCAGCTTCTGGTCCACGAACCTCATAGGTGGGAAAACGAGACTATCTGTTAAGTCTTGATCTAATCTACAGAGAAGTATGATGTTAAAATGTTGCAGAAGAAATTTGCAAAACTAAAAATAAAATTTTGAATTCAAAGTGGCCGGAAAATGGCAGGAAACCATTTGTTTGTTTTCCAAGAATACTGGATTTGTCTGTGAAAGTATTCAATGGTACTATATGGAATAATCAGGTCCTCCAGATGTCAGCATCCTTGTTTCTTTCCGAAGGGGTCCTTTCTGGACCCTTAACACAAGCTCCCCTTCCGCCATTCCTTCTAGCTCACTGTTGTCCTACTACTAGTAATCATCTGATTCGACCAGAACGAAAACGATGGGAGTCTGATCTGTTGAATACAGTGCATGTCACAGTAACTCCTACCGTATGCCCTATTTCGTCGGCTTTTTTTGCGTAATCTTAGAAAGGCTTATAACTACTCGCTGCAAAAATAGTCAAAAAATCCAAGCTATTAATTTGTAAGAAGCGCTATAGAAACTAAGACATAGTAGCAGGTTTTCATAGTTGGTTAGACACATTCAGAAGCCCCTCAGAGGCCCTGATGCATTCACTGGTTTCTGGTTACTGGTTACTGGTGAAACATAAACATTAATAAAAGCTAGTATTTGAGTTTAATCTCTGTAACAACGCTAGAAACGCTTTTATTTAACTGCGCCTACACAAGAAAAACTCGCTTAGGGCTCATCAGGGGCCCAACAGATAATCGGCCCATCTTGTCAAGGGTTTCGAAGGGATTTGGCTTAGGCCACCGGGGACCGATCGATAGCTATGGCCGGCAATGCTACCCAGTCAAATAGGGTCTTTCCCATGGTAAAATGTCTATCGTACTTCGCTTATTATTAACACTTCCTCTCTTACTTTCTCAGAAATGAACAAATCAGTTGACCTACAGTAACTGACAAACTACAGTACTGCTATGGTGCTGTGCACAGAGTAAGTATAGTAACTTATGAAGAAAACAATTTTATTTTTACTTAATTGAGCATAGCATTACTGTAAATATTTTTATAATAAAAGGATAAAAGATCGTGATGAGCTTAATCGTCTACTAGTTCTCTGTAACTAAGTTTTTGTTTGCGATTTAAACTTAGGAATGGTAGTGAACTCGATGAATTTCCAACAATTCCTGAATGGTCATTTGAACTTACCGTATAATACGTTACTGTAGTGCAGATACAGCACCAAGGGTAGATTTATTTCAATTGCAGATACCGAAATTGATGAATGTATTCCCGGTGATAGCCATATGTATCAGACCGTGGGTACATCCAGCGATTTCGGCTATCGCTTCTAAAGACGACAGCCCTGTCAAAGTGAGCTGAGTGAGCCCTGATGTGGCATGGCAGATGAGGAAGGCAGATGGCGAAGGGTCACGATGTCACACAGATCCACTATAACGCATTTGTCCCGCTTTTATAGACCTAGAGTGGGCGTGGCAGGTCAGTAGTATCGATCCACTAGTACCCAGACCCAAATGCCAAACGTTCTGGCCGCAACTTGTTAGTTTCAAGGGAGGCAGTCACGTTCGCGCCGTTTGAGATGCAAGCCCGTTACTGGAATGTCTTCGTTCAAAGACTAAGCATTTTCTGAATTTCGATTCCGAGCTCAATAACCGTAAAAAGTTCAAAATTCTGTATTAAATAAGAAAAAGTGTAGGCAGAAATTGTATATACGAAATTAAAATTATTTTTTCGGGCAAATTTCATGCCCAGGTGTGTGTTAGGGTTTCCAGGATTCAAACCGGATCATGCAAGTCCAAAATGAGCTTTCTCATGGTTAACGAACGTGGGATGATATCGAATTCGATGGCCCGATCGGACTATTTCCCAAATTCTCTTTTTTTCAGGAGTCAAAAGAAATAAGAATCGTTTCAGGTCCTGGAGGGGATTTTTGGGTGTTATTTCTCCGGGTAGAAGTCCCTGACAGAAGTGAAGTTCCCTTTGAAAGAAGAGAATCCTTCAACGACTTGTTTTTGTTTACGAAAGATAACCAAAGATCGCTGAATTTTAGTTAGCACGACTACTACTGGAACCCTCTTGTTTAAATCCCAATCCCTTGGATGAGAATTCCGTCACCCACCTGTATCTCCCGGTCCACTTTTTCAATATTACCCTTTCCTTTTCATTGCTGTCTCCAGGAGGGTGACAAGGAGGAGGGAGAAAGTAAGTAAGAACATCACAAGTTCGGTTTTACTTTGAACAATCCATATAAGTACTATTGATCCTGAACAAGTTACTTCTGAGTCATCACACTGCTTACCCTAGTCAAATTTTATTTTCTCAACAGGGCCACAAAAACCGAAACAAGTGGTAATAGTAAATATCTCATAGTTGAGCTATTGTTCGAATTTGTAGACGATGTACTGGTAGTACTTGTAGACGGTGTACTGGTAGTCCATGATTCAGAAGATGAGGGTTGAGGTGTAGTGCAAAGCGGAGGTGTTAAAGGTGACGGTGTCGGCAAGACGTAGTCGATCGGGGTACTGTAGTTCGTACCTCGGAGGAAGTTCACGAACAGTTGAAGGGCTTCCTTTGGTTTTTCATCCGACGACGCCACGAAGTGCCCTGCACCTCTTACGGTCAGGAAATCCAAGCCTGAAATTCCATCATTTCATCTCCTACACTGCCAATCAATATTGCTTCTATAGGCCGACTGTTGGGCATTATCCCTCCACCCTATCGCCTGAATGGCGATGGCGGTGACATTATGGGCCATGGGAGAAGTGTGGGGGGTCAATTATATGAGAGAACGGCCGCAGATAAGAGGATCGAATGATGCTGAGGGTTGAAGAGAGGACGGACATGACGCGTAAGCATTGCGCAAGCCTACGGAACTGGCAAACAACCCTATAGGTCACACTCGAGGAGATTCAAATCACCCGAACAGGAGCAGTCACCACCCGTATGGATGAGGTGACAAGCGCTCCCGAATGTTTTCGGTGGCAACTGCGCATGGGTGTGGGGCTTTATTTTGGGCCCTACTTAATATGCACCGATGGGAGCCTTAAAATGGGCTATACTCCATGTTGCTACTTGAACAAGGAGATAAACCAAGAGGATAAAAGGTTAAGCGCTGAACAGTCCACTTTCGGATCGACCATGTACTCGACTTCAATACAGAATGTAGAGATGTTTGAATGCGTCTCAGAGCTACAGACTGACTTTCAAAGCCTCACCGTTACAGAGTGTAATGTTTTCGAGTTTTTTTTTTGATGGAAACTCAATTCATCCTCGTAGGAGGGATAAAAAGTTCAATTAGCTTAGATTCAGTTTGAATCCGCAGAATGTGACCGGTGCTGTAGCGGCTCTTGCCAATTCCATAACTTCGCTTAGCGATGAAATTAAATGAACAACTTCCGGTGTTTGCAAAAAGCTATTTTACACATCTTTGACTACCATCTGATCCAATCTAAACCCACATGCCATTGAGGTAAGTGGGGTAGTGGCAAAGGGCGCCGTCACCGCACTCGCAGTCAGATATGAAAGCCCAAATCGATATCTGGTCGGGCTAATAATGTATTCCATACTGATGAATGGCTGCTTAATTTGTATCAGATTCGTTTAGGATAATAAAAGCACGTATGCATGCGTTAACCACCAAAGGACAAGCGAAACGCGTATGGAAGAGCTTATCTTCAGAAGGACTTCGAATGGGAGTCGAATGTGTGGGTACTTCCCAATCGAGATTGATCAACATTTTCTGAATCCCTTTTGAGTTACTTGTGGCCATTCGCTTTCTAATTTAAGTTTTCAGGGTTAATTGATCCTATTTTGAGAGAGCCCATGCATTTGGTCTACATTCAAAGTGATAGAGGCGTTAGGATGAGTATGTGGCGTACACCATAACTCCTTGGGGTCAGCTGTAGAAGTCAGTGATTCAGTAGCTCGAGAAGATCAGGATACCATTCACACTGTAAGAATGAAAAGCTTGACTGGCTCAGGCGGGTAGCACGCCAGGATTTGATCCTCGGACCACACCTGTGGCAGCGCGTCACTTAAACACCGAGAAGTCCATTTTCGAAAATGGAGAATAATCCGCGTAAAGTACCATTTCTCTACTGTTATTCTATCGGAACATTATTCGAATGATGTCAGTCGGTTTTTCGGCAAAGAGAGCAGATGAATACAGAAATCTGATCATCCTACTAGGCCGCAGGTCTCCCAATTCTATCTAACATCGGTTGTTTTTGTGAGCATTGTATACTGTAAGGATTGGATCGGCTTGGCTTTGTAACCCAAAACTAAACAGGCTCATGCGCAATCAATGACTACCCTTTGACGTATTGCTTTAATTAGACCAGGAGGAGCCACGAGTTGCTTAATTTCTGCCCTCATATGCGCAGATTGAAGTTTTGCTCCTTCTCTCGGACCTGTACTAATATCGCTTTCAACTTACCATGTGTGATACCATGTTACACGCTGTGCACGTTTATTGATCAGTTCAAATGATAACCTCTTGGTGTGGTCAATCAGACTAATCAATAAACGTGCACGTGTGACGATAAGGCAGTTTGGCACAGTGCCTAGCATTTTCATAAGTATTCAAACCTGGCGTGCAAAGCGCAGTGGCTGACCAGTACCCATTCCGCTGGTTTCACTCTTTTCAACGGATATGAAGGAATTTAACCAACAACAGCAGGAAACAGCAATGTTTTTTCCTACATTTATTCAATCCCGTTTCGAAGATGGGCCCCCTTTCGACTCTCATCCAGGATTGTGTCGGTTAGAATGTGTACACGGTCCATACAATAGTAAAGAAGTGCCGAATCGAGTGGGAAAATTCGTGCTCTTAAATGAATACAAGGCTTAAAAAATGTAGTAAGGTTAAAGGTCGGACGAAAATGTGACAAATGTTGCATGGAAGGGGCATTTGGACGAGTCGTCCGAATGCGTGTCATTGCGTACAGCTAGTTACACTGAGGTGCCTGCGTACAGCGTGTGAATTCCGGTGGAAATGGTGCTACCTCTTTACGACGCCGAGGGACCTCATCCGCCTTATGTACCTGGGCTAAGTCCGTTTGCGAGCCGTCATAATGCCCTATCTGAACCGTTTTGGACCCGACAGCGTCTCCTGTGCCATCTTTAAGGGTCACGATCATCCCAAGAAAAATCAGACACCATTCATATCGTAATCTATACCTTTTAGTGGCTTCAGCTTCGAACAGAACTTTATTCCCTGATTGCGCGCGTAGCAGCAGCGCCTGTTTACCACCACCTGCTTACTATCAATGCATGTCTACAACTGGCTGGTAACCCAGATTTTAAGTCCAAGCACCATCAATTCACCTTCGTACTGTGTGATAAAACCAATAGTTGGTGGTTCTTGTTGTTGATCGGTGTAGATGGACTGAGGCGATTTGAGATTCAGGCCGAGTTCTGACGCAAATTGAGCACCATGAATCGCATTGCATATCGAATCAACATCACCATAAAACAATGCGACCTTAAAAGACGATCGACTGAACGTTTACTGCGGAATTCCAGTATTAAGTATGTAATTTTACCTTTTTATTAGCGTCGATCACCTTCTTGACATTGCCATGCTGCGTAATGCAATGTGTCTCAGTCATATCGTAATTGTTCTCTATATCCTCACTACAAAAAGATTTTCTTTCAGTAGTAGCTCTGATAGGAAGTGAAGATGATCACCCAAAAAGCCTTACTTGCAGCTTTCGTACGCCGGAATAATGCTGGGGATGTTGAGAGCACGGCGCACATCTTCTCTTTGGAGATAAACCGTCGAGTCGTTGTAATGATCGCATGAGGCTGTCACCTAAATAGTCAGGATTCTGAATCGAATTTAATTCTGACAGATGTCGGTCACGAGTGATGTATAGCAGCAGTCTCGATAGACTCGATGTCTACTGGATAGTTGCCTCGTGCTGTGAGTGGGCGGAGCTTTTCCTCGGAGGAGCTCTAAGTGCGCGAGGACCGAGACAAGCCGCTAGAAACCCTTATGTTTAGCTGACCAAAAATTTTATGCCTTATTAGATATAGGAGGAGTCACCGTGATAAAATCTTCGTCATTGCAGGGTTTGGAATTGAATTCAACTGCATGAAAATTCAGAAAGAGATGATCTAAGCTGAATAATTGCATATACGTCATGAAGCGACCGCGCAAACCTGGTGGGCGGGACTTGCGCGGTGCCCAATAATAGTCAGCGTGGGCGCGGTCATCGAAGGCGTCTCTTATTGGTCGCGTGAAGTGAGCGCACTATTCAGGTATGGGGTCCTTACTATTGCCGTCTTCAAATCTACGAAGCAAAATCCAAAATGGTACTGCAATGAACTGAAGCCCTTTGATTTTGTGCATATATTCCCAGTTTTGATGGCCCTGTGAGAATGGAGAAAGTTCGATTCATGTTTATTCCGTTGGAATTCATAAGTTAAAAACTATTCACCTCCATATTTCCATACTTTCTGAAGTGAGTGTTGAGTACAGCCGAACGCTGGTTGAAAGATGTACTGGTGTCGTCGAGACGGCAAGTGTAGTAGAGGAAGAATGGATCGAGGCCAGTGAAAACGTTTGCTTGATTCAGCGCCAACGACTTAAGTATGTAAAGTGGAAGAAGGGTTGAGAAGTAAGAGTTAAGTCAACTGTATCTGTACATCATTGTAGCAGTCGTTGGCACTGTCCAGAGACATCTCATAGAAATCACAGCCATATGATGAATTATTTGGACAGCAGTTGTCAACAGCAGAACGGTAACGACTACAAATAGATTCGGTTATAAACCTGAAAATTCCCATCCAAAGTTCACGTTTGTCAAAGTTTACATTCAAATGCCATTGTGAAGAGCTATCTCGTCTATCTATCAACAAATATTAATATCAAAGGCACTGTTCACGATAAATTTGGGGTGCATGGTTTTGAACAATTAATTGAAGTGATAGTCCAGATTAGTACGAAGGAGGAGGAGAAAACGCGAAAATGCGCATATTTAAAAAATTTTAAAGCTGTAGAATGGAGTAAATATAATGGTTGTTGGACAAGAATGTGACGGCAAAAGTTTCATGGAAGGGGTTCATGGACGAGTTGTCCGAATGTGTGCGTCATTGCGTACAGCTGGTTACAGTGAGTTGCCTGCGTGCAACGGATGCATCCCGATGGGAACGGTGTAATCCCTACAGCCCTCACAACGCCGTGAGACTCGTCCACTTTTGGGTGTTTACGTCAGCGTAACCTTGTTTAAAGCCCTTTTGCACCTTATGTAGGCCGTTTTTAAAACGTCCCTTGTGCTACCGAAGGGGGTCATAGGTTCATTCGAGGCACATATCTCGGGAACCACTTCTACCGTGAAATGTGCCGCTCGTCGAGGATGGAAATCAAGTAAACAAATATAAATAGATATCGTGTAAATTTGAAAGTGCAATGACTACTTATTAGACAACAAATCACGTATTCTAATGCTTCCCTCGTTTAATCCTTTTTATGTGCACTATGCTCTACTAGTACATTTGTTCCTAACTGCTGTTGGTATTCGAACGTTA